CGCTTAACCACTAGACCACTGAGCCGGCATTCAACGGTGTTAATGTCTAACTTAAACTAATTGAACCTCAACCATTGAAATTACTACAATCTCCACAAAACCCCTTCTGATATCCTGGAGTTTTAGTAAGAAGTGGTGACCAGTGGAGTTCATCCAGGTCTGTTGTGAGATATTAACTCACTGAAGACATTGGTGAATGTGTCGCTCAGCTTCATGGATTAGTTTATGTTAGACATTAACACCGTTGGATGCCAGCTCAGTGGTCTAGTTGGTTAAGCGCCTGGCGCGAAACTGATAGGTCCTCGGTTCGAATCACGCGAGGCGGGTCGTGTATGCGCACTGCTGAGGAGTCCCATGGTGGGACGAAACGGCTGTCCAGTGCTTCTAAGCTTTCCATGGTGGTCTAGCTTCAATTGACTCATGATCTCAACTGTTGAAATTACTACAATCTCCACAAAACCCCTTCTGATACTAATCAACCTATGCTCACTAGTGACTGACTTCAAGAGGTATATCCTGGAGTTCTAGTGGGAAGCGGTGACCATTGAAATTTAACAGGGTCAATTGTGAGATGGTAACTCACTGGTGACAATGGTGGAAGTGTCGCTGAATTTTGTGGACTAGTTGAAGTTAAATATTAACACCGCTGGATGCCCGATAAATAAACACTGTTAAAATAATTATAATATTTGAATAAATTATCATTTAATTATTGATTAGTGAGCTGGAGAACTGACTGAAATTGTTTCTGTGTACTCAAGTATTACATTAAGGCCAGTTCAAAAAAGTAAACATAATTGTAAATGTATATAAAAAGAATATTATGTTTACAGCTACTAAAGAAGAAATCGGTAAATAATTGGTCTAATTAATAATTTCTTTACTCTTCATGGATATAATCATACTATTCGTTTGTCAATATATCGATATGTTTATTATTGTAAATCATCACTAACTAACCAATTGTTCATTTATCTTTATTCAACTTTATTAGAAACAATTATCTAATCATAATGTATGCTTGATCGTGTTCCTTAACAAATTATGAATTTACCTTTGCTCTATTTAGTAAACTAACTTTACAAAATGACTGTAGAATAACTCTTTCAGTAATGATTTTCCTTTGAAATGAAGTTGGAAACAATATTGATTAAGATTTCGTCTATCTTCGACTATTACTAACAAGTTTCATTCATGATTTGTAGACGAATGATGAAAAAAAATCTGAAACTTTACACAAAGTAATAATACTGATAATAGTTCTCATTGCTTAACTATAATCAAATAACAAACTCAAGTATGTGCTTAATTATATAATGAATGTCGAAATTCATTAGGTATAGGATTATAATGTTTTCGAGTAATTCAATATATGAAAACAATATATATATATATATACTTGTGTTGCGAATGAATTATATATTTGTCCTAATGAGAACCTAATGGTGGTATTACTTGTGTGTAGATGTTATCCTAACAACCATAATCAGAGAGACATGATTATTTATTAAATCGACTGACATTTCACAACCACTTACTGATCTCAAATTGTTCTACATAATTGAATTTAGATTTTACGATGTAAATAATTTTTAAGCACTTTGTATTGTTTGTTTGAATCTTTCCAATGATGTTTAAGGTTGATCAATGGCAGTCTTAAACATCAATCGGAAGATTCAAGCAAACAATATAGAATGAATCTAAACTTCATCCCAATCCACAAGAAAGTTGCCATCAGGACTCAGCACCTAAGTGGATAGTGCGATGGCATTTGATGCGAACGATAATGGGTTCAAGTCCCAGATGTAGGTACATCTAGTTGACGAGTCCTAAATTAGGACGAAAAGTGTATCCTGGATTTCATTGCTAGTCACCATCCATCATTACTCATGAAGTTTAAACAGTTATAAAACCGAAGTAAAGAAAGAAGAGGATCAACAAAATAAGAATTTGTTAATTCCTTATTGACTGTATTTCGTGGAAAAAGATATATTTTGTTAATGTTACCATAATTTAATATTATCAGGAAAATTGTCTGGATTTATTTATTGTTTTCATTTGTTCAAATAATTATTTATTTCTTTATTTACTTGTAATAAGAACGTGACCTCAGTATAAGATATTGAATACATACATATTTATTGATAAGTCATCTCTTTAGTATAGTGAAAGAATGAACTTGTTATTATAATAACGAGTGCTATTATTTTGCTTTAATCGATAAATACATATGAAAAATAAGTGATTACAGAATTCTGGAATATTCTATGTGTATTTTCCTTATAGACCAATGTAGGTAGAAAAGGAAGGTATTGGAAGTTAACCTTATCAATCAATAAATAAAATACACTCCAATCTATTTTTATTAAGTTAAACTAGGGTAGAATATTGTATCTGTGTTTGAGTTAACGTAAAGTTTTTAACTATATCATAGATGATATTTTGTATATGTTAGAGATAAAGTTTTATTCTGGGCTATTCTGATGTTCATTTATTGATTTATTTGCTATTATACGTCAAGTTTTATTGATTGAATAAAGTTATTGCTTTCTAAACACATCACAGAAAATTACTCATCGTGTATATTAAAAGAATATAAATCATCAACACATCATTATAGAAGCGTCTTATCAACTCTAATCATATTACTTTAACAAAACTAGCTCTCAAACATATCAGAGGCGTTTCCTTTTAAATTCTCACAACTTATTCATGAACTCTTTGTGTATTGGTAGCAGTTGGAATCTATCATTTTTCTTTCTGGTCTCAATATCTCACTTAATCTTCCTTTTAATTTGAAATTAGTTATGATTAACCTCGTCCGTTATCCGCAATAATCATTCATTTATTAATATTACTTTGACATTTTTCGTTACGTTTTCATATATGTCATGCAAATAAATATCTGTTAACATTGCTGATCCTTAATTTACTTTTGTCTCACTGTATTTTTTTTTGTCTAATCACTAAGCAACTTTCTTGAAATTCTGAACAGTTTACCGTATAATCTATTTCTGTTCTTCTACAGACTAATATATTTTTCAAATTACTGAATATATGACTATGTGAATTGATTGAATAACATCATTAAAAAAAATATTCCTTGCTGAGTAATCTTTTATAATATGGATGACACAATGGGTTTGATTTATTATTCAAATATGAACTAAATGTTTTGGAACTCAAATTGATCCTCAGTAAGTAAAAACATCAGGTGACACTGTCGTGTGTGTTACTTATATTGACATAAGTAGTATATGATATTAACTCCGCCTGGAGTCCCTCCGGGGGCTACTGCCGGTCCCAAGCCCGGATAAAGGAGGAGGGTTGGGCATGGGGTTAGCGTCCCCATTCCGTAGAAAACTAACTCGCTAAAAAAAACGCTAACCAGAAAAAATTATTCAAAAAACGCTAACCAGTATATGATATTAGTCGTAAACAGAAGGTCTGACAGCAAAGAGACAAGAGGATCGAACAGTAAAGAATCGAAACAGAATGCAATTTGTATGAAAATGCAAGAACAATGAAGTCTGAGTGATTTTGAGACAATTGATGGACATTTTGCAAATTAAGCATTTACTTTATGGTTGTTAGATTTTATTAACTAGTCCTGTAATTTTGTGTTATTTACATTCGATTGTCCCCACTGGTGTTCCGTTCACTACAACACTAGGTTAAATTAGAGATTCATGAATGTTTTCTTTTTTATAAATCATGACGTTGACATATTTGATACTGACATTTCATGTTTTTTTTTCCACCTCAAACTTCATTTCTTAAGTCTAGTATTTCACTACAGTTTTGTAACACAATCATTGTTAATACCTTACTTAATTACGTTAAATAGGTTGACATTCTCTTCGGCTATTAGTGTGGACCCAATGTTCTACAAAGCGTAACATTGTTTAGGCGTAAAGTCATTAAAAATATATCAAGGTGACCTAAAATCATTAAATTCAGTCCAAGATTACAATTCAACCATTTTATTACTTAATGTTATCGAAAATTATTATTATCCTTCATAGCTACAATCACGAAGAGAAAAATGGTTTTGCCTGCAAAGTCGATTATTTTCATAAAGTTATATGGATTGATTAGATCAATACAAACTTTTGGTCAACGTTCTTATCATTTACAACAAAAACAACAGAAACGCTTCTAGAATACGACATTACATAAAATAACTAATCTAATATATTAATTTATGAAAATTATCATCGAAATGGATGTAACAATGTCATGTACAATGACATTGTATAGTGATTTGCAAAGGCACCTATGATTATTGACAATCAAAACAGAGGTATTTAAAAACATCTACTTATGTTCTATTCCTACTATGGTAATTTTTTCCATACGAATTTATTCAATAATATATAAATATATTAGGGAATGATGGTGAACAGTTGATGAGGTTGTGGATCTTCATCGACTGAGATGGTTAGGCCACGTGTTGCATATACCTGAACACCGATTACCACGACGCGAAATACCGACTAGTGTAGGGGATAGTTGGAAGAAAGTTAGTGGCGGCCAAACCAAAACCTGGAATCAGTGCTTGAAGTCACTAACTTCTAATCTGAGCCATGTTAGTAGATGTAGACTACTCGGTTGGGATCCGCGTGACTATCGTAACCAATAGTTAGAGACTGAGTGGAATGTCTCAAAATTAATCACAGTGGCGTAGGTGTATACACTCCCTGTCTTCTCTTAAACTAGGAAATTAAAATCGCTTCATAAGTTTCTCCATACGAATTAATTCCTACTTCCTGTACTATGTTCTTATATGCAATCTTTCTTTTATACATTACCACTACTGAACTAACCACTTCTATGAATCCAGTATTCATGTTGTTGTGCTAATGAAGTATGGCAACTTGAACCGATGCACATATGTGCCTGGTCCTACGTTGCAGCTAACTGACTGATTGAGATAAACTTAAAATTTATTCAACTTCTTTAGTTACTTTTATAAAAATTAAATGATATGTGTAACTTACCATAAAACATTATAAATTGACATACTAAATATATTAGATCCATTCTGTTTGAACCAACAAAATCATTGATTGTGAATAATAAATATAACAAGATTTATCATTGAAAGACAAGATATGTATATTAAAGTATATTGATTAAAATATGAATTCAGGGTATATTTTAAACACAAGTGATATAATTGTAATAAATTCAATATATCAGGTTATCTTCTTGATAATATTTATATAAATGTATCTGTATATATTCAACATGAATTTAATCTGTTTCTATACTAGAAACTAAATAAATAAAACAATTAAAATTCTTTAAATTAACAATAATTCTTTTATTGATTTTTGTTTCTTTTCTTTTTTTTCTTACATATTACATTCTAATTGTATAAATGATTCTCATTATGAATGGAACAATCTTGAAGCGGTTTTTTTTATTCTTTTCAACAGTTCACAGTTGTTTATTATTATTATTATTTCTTTCTCTTTTTTTTCTTCTTCAAAGGAATCAATATTTAAAAAAAAACAAAATTGTGAATTCAAATTAGTGATAATTCAGCACCAAACTAAATAATTCCAATTTTTTAAAATTTTATTCATAGTAACTGTACTTGTGAATATAATAACAATAATAATCAATTGTTACTGGGTTTTGTTTTTCTTCGTTTTGCTTTCTCTTTAAAAAAACTTGTCACTCTTTATTAAACTATGGTGTTATTATTTTTTTTTTAAATTTGTGGTAGAAAATACCTTCAATACACGTCTGATATTATGGACATGAAAAATTGAATTTGACCACACCCAATAATCATGATAATATGAGAATATCACTTATATGAATGGTATTAGTAATAAGTTAAATACTGATTACAAGTATAATATGGATAAATGAATAGAATAACTTTATTTATTCAGAAATTTCTAGATGTGTATATACGGTATCCTCATCATACCCACATACATACACAACTACATAGATACAAATATTTACATTTTTATAGGAAATCATATAAATATCAACTATCCTAAATTGTTATCCAATCAAGTGAACAGAATAAATTTCCATAAGCTTCATTGGTTTCTACATAATAACGTTTGTATATATATATATATATATATATATATATATATATATATATATATATATATATATATATATATATATATATATATATATATATATATATATATATATAGTTTACCAACTGACTAATAAGGACATGGTGAAGAGACAATCATCAATAAAAGCTAAATCAAAATAAATTAAGTCAACTCAACGACAAATTTCACCAAATCTGTAAATTTATGAATCAAAATAAAACAAAAATTTATAGCTTTTTTTCCTTTTAACATATTAATAATTTACTATGCGATTCAGTAACCTGAATATATGACTTAGCTATATCTCATCGAAAGGACAAATTAGTTTTTATACTGCTTAATTTGCAATCTTATTTTGTGCTTTGTAACTTAAATATAGGTTATGGTTCAAAAGTAATAGTCTAGATAAATAAACTTCAAAACGATTACTGAATCGTGATCAATTTAAGTAGTATTCTCTTTGTAATTCATCAGCGCACGAGGTCAAACGCCCTGGGTTCGAATCCTTCATACAGGTCGTGGATGTATCTTGACAAGAAGTCCTATACAAGAATGAAATGGCCATACAGTGCTTCCAGGATTTTAGTATTGGTCTAATATTGATCGATTAATGATCTCAATCATAAAACATCAGTTCGTACATTAAGTGAAGTATAAATGATTGATATGAACAAATATAAACCAACAGTTGCATTTAATAAATCATCATCGTGAAAAGTATAATTCTAATCGACGATTACTGATTGACCAAAACGTTTAAAAATTTCAGTTTCAATATGAAAATGGTGATTATGAAGGATGATCACTTGTTTCGGATTATTAGGCTACGAACTGATGGGCTTATTTGTAAGATACTATCCAAACATTATTTTACATAGTGCTTTGTTTCATGTAATCTAGTCAGCTATTCCAAAAATTACAATGCATGTTGTGAAGAATAACGTATCTAGGTTCACTCACAAAATATTCTATTCTTAGTTCCTCATTTTGATAAGCCTATTTTAAATGTTTAATCAAAGGATTTTGTATATTTACATTATCGTACAACATTATGATAATGTCTGTATTTAACCTATCTATCGGATTAGTAAAATAACCCATTATGTCATAAAGAGAATTTAGCGAAGAAAATTTACCTTTCAATGTAATCATTTACTTAAGTTATACGTTCGCATTTATAGTTGCATGGTTAAGATGTATCTATAGAAAGATAGAAGAAACTGAATCATAAATGCTTAAAGACCCCAAATACGAAATGAGGTCGCGTAATACTCACGGGGTTAGAAAAAATTAGAAGGATGAAAATAATTTACGGGTGAGAATTATGAGAGGTAATTGTCCACTTTACAGATATGATATTTTTTTCACTTCTTTAGTACTAAATTCTAAAGCTAAAGAAATGATCATCACTTCTCATCCCTTAAAAACCTCATGGACTGACATCTAACGAAGTCTCTAAACGAATCTCAAATAAAAACTTGAATTATATCTATTTATTCAAGGTACGGTTCATCCATGATATCCATCTCCTTATCAAACGGTGAAAATACAAGATCTCATTTAACACTAAATTTGTTAACACGTGTGATATGTGGCCTTCGAAAATTGGAAGCATAAGAATGTAGGTATTAGCCTATCAAAGTAAACGTCAACCAATTATTCATGAGATGAAATTTAAGAGTTGTGTTATGAATGCTAAGTTACTACCTGCATCCATTTAGTAGTATGAATGACAAGGTAGTAGGTTGGAATAAAGTCAAGAACTAACAAAAAACTTAATCAAGCATTAGTTCGTAAAATACTTCACTAAAAATATGATCAATCGCATACAGCACGCATTTCCTGGTTGAAGTCGTATTCATAATCACAGAGGTCTTAAACGATATGAAACAAAATGACTTTCAAGAGAGCTAAGCTTTTTTCTCCTTATCGTGAGTTTTAATTTTTTTATCCTTATATTTTAATTTTAAAAATTCACCTTATTTTTATTCTCTTAACTTGATTTCTTCTACGTACCTCTGAGATTATTTTTGTTTAGTCTTTGGCTTTAGTGATGTGAAATGTGACAACCTTTGTTTAACTAGATGGCTTAAACATCCCAGGTTAAGAATGCCTCCCTTTCACTGTATATCTCTACTGGATGTGTAACGAATCAAATGAAAGATTGAAGAAGAGATTAGATCTAGATTTTAATTTTCGCATCTGACAGGCAAGAAGTGCGCTTGGTTTAGAAAACATCATTTGACGTCAGTGGTAGTATGTGTTAGGTGTACTTAAAAAGATGACTGTTCTATTACGTCAACCATATTTTGTAGAATATATAACAGAAACTTTGTAAACATAAACTCACCACTGTATATGTTCGTATGATGCCTTCGTACAATTTATATTAAATTTATGAATTCATCAGAAAGAGATTTCAGCATTATCAATAACTTGGATCTCACTATTAGTTAGATGATTTGAATAGTATTCTACAAAAGAAAATTTGCTGCAACAAACTCAAACTCTCAAGCATCAAGAAATCTGACTGGTTAAATGGTTACAGAATAATTCAGGAATGAATTATTACTATGGTTGTAAATAAAGTTTAATAATAAGGATCAAAGGTTCTTAGCTAATGCTTCAATAATTATGTTCCATGGCTCAATAGCGTATGAAAATGAACTTTGTATATTCACACTAGACCACGTGGCATATTTATATAATTAAAGTACACACTAGTCATATTTCAGCACAATCGTTAACGTAAAATAACATTTATCATGACGATAACCTGCGTTATATCTGACAATTTAAATATACATTTGATAAGACAGTACTGATTATTGTTTGAGTCCTTTCTTTAAGATGAAACTAAAGGAATATTGTTTTCAGAAGCAAAGAAACATTGCGGTAATACTATAAATTTACAGTATAGGTTCCACTACTATTTTGCTTATATCTTACGTTACTGTTTTTCTAAACAGAAGAAAGTTTAACAAGGTTCTATTTTTTACAATAAAAGGTGGAAAATAATTGATTATCTCAGTAAATTATGATATAGGTTCTTTCGTATCAATAAAATGTTTTTAGATTTTAATTACAAATCTACATAAGCAGTAAAACGTATTACAATAAACTAAGTTAATTATCTAAATAACATATACTGTAGTGAACAAGAACACAGATGGGTACAGCCAAATTATAATTAGTAGAAAATTCCAGAGTTACTTGGTAAAATAGAAAAACCATACTATAATGCTCAATTTGCAAAATGTTCAATAATTGTCCCGAACTTCGTTGTTCTTGCATTTCGATACTAATTGCTTTTGATTCCCGCTCTTCCTTTCTTGATCTTCCCCATCTTCTGCTGCCAGACATTACATTCCTTACTCGCTTTATATACTACTCACGTCAATATAAGTAGCACGCACCACAATAAAAATACAATGAAAAAATTCTTATAATTATATAAGATTGTTAAATTCGAATCCAAGGAATTTAGAATTTAACTTTAAATAAACAATGAAGACAGGTATCGATAATGATCCACTTGACGCTTTCAGTACTTAATATAGCTCTTTGTGTAATCAGTCAAAAAAGTAATCCTTTTAACTGTAGTTCTAGTTGACGTAAATATGAGTGTATGATGTAATAAAATATATCAGGGATGGTAAATACATTAATTTTAAGAACATCTTGCAAAATTCGTGAATAATTCGACAATGAATAAATAGCTAAGAAGTAGTACTAAAACTTTGAGTAGAACGTTGAAAATATACAAACAAGATGTGTACTTTCAAGAAGTAATTGTGCTTACAAATATTACCCAGTTTTCTCGCTTTAAGTTTTTAGCAGATGTATGTATTTCTTTTTGTCTAAGGGTCTTACAAAAAAAGACAGTACATAAGATGTGCTGTATATACGGACTACCGAATCTTTTTGGTAGGGATACTTACGTGAGCCGTCTAAGTATTTGTACAATCTATAATCATTTTTCTGTTATTATATGGGACAATAATGAATCCAGACTATGGTTTGTTAATTGAGATCTGAACAGTAACTAACTGATTTCTGTGAATGAAAATAGTTACGTATAAAGAGTAAATGATAATTTCATATTTTCTAAGGCATCAACTAGAATTATCCCATTTCAAATTTTATCCAGTCGTCTTTATGGATTTTCTAATAAAATAACGTTACAGGAAATGACTCGGACATGCACTTCATAAGTTGCTGCTATCACAAAATTTTAAATTTCAATGAATTATTTGACAAAATCTATTTTAAAATAAGAGCAAAACCGTTTCTGGAACAAAAGATAGCCTTAGTAACTTTCAAACAAAGCTAGATTTAAGGACAAACGGATTGCTAAATATCAATCTTGTTATGCTCGTACGATTATCCTATGGAACAAGAATTAGTTTCATAAATCTAAAATTTCATGATGGTAACATCTTTGATTCGTCAAATTACTTATATACTTAATAACTAAAGATTCGCTAGACTGTACCATCAGGCAACAAACATAATTAAATACCTGTTAACGTTTAACTGACTCTTCCTATAATCTGTATTGACCAAACTTCACTACTTGGCTTTGTCATAGTTTGCGTTACAACATGAAAAATACTTCGAAAACTTGACATGTTACTTAATTTAAACAGATTAGTCTTTACCTATTGAACAGAGATGCACCAATTTATAATCAACTTTGAAACACAAAATATCGTTCTAATAAAAGAATATAAAAATATTTTTCGTAATACTATGAGAAACATTTGTCAACATGAACTTACACAGGGTTATGAATAAACGTTGTGATCTAATCCCTCGATAGTTTACGTTAAGAACTCTAAAGTAATTCAATATACCTCATGAATTACTTT